AATTATTTTAACCTTAATAAACACCCAAAATTATATTTTTAAGATAAATCCGTATTATGGCGAGGTCTAGGTTTAGAGCGCGCGACGTCGGGACGTGGGACAGCGGCAATTCCAGACGACGGCCAAGGCAGCAACGGCGGACTGGGGAGTTTGGATTCGGAATCAGGGACAGTCGTTCTTCGTTTATAATTTTCCAGATAACTGCGACGCAAAGGCTTTGTGGCTTCGGTTTCAAGAGTGTGGAAGGGTCGGTGATGTGTTTGTGCCAGCAAAGAGGGACAAATGGGGGAATAGGTTTGGTTTTGTCAGAATGTTAGGGGTGCAGGATGTTCAATATATGGAAGGGAGATTGAATCAGATCTGGTTTGGCTCTTATAAACTGCGAGTAAAGGTAGCCATTGATAGGGGGCAAAACGGAACAGTTTATCAGAAGGAAGCCGACAGGAAGGGTAGAATCAGGGCGCAGAGTTTCGTCAAGCCAGGGCGGTCATATGTTCAGGCGGTTAAGGGGTACTCTTCGAGGGCTGTGGGTGCTCAGGTATGGAGGAAAATTGCAGGGGTGCAGGAGAGAGCAGATCTCGTGGACAGGGCGTCCATCGCTCCAGGGAAGCCTTTGGGGATGGAGAATGTTAGATCGGGTGAAGAGGGAGGTGGAGCTATGGATGGTGAATCGAAGGAGAGTATCATTGATTTCTCTCCATCCAAAGAGGAGAACGTGTGGCTGGAAGGGGGTGTTGTAGCGGTAGTGAGATCAATGTCAATGATATCCAATATACAAGAGAGAGTAGACATTGATGGAGGTTTGATTAATCTATCTCCATTAGGAGGGCGGAGTGTATTGTTGACTGAACGCGTGGAAGGCTACTTGAGTGAATATATTCAGCACAACAAGGAATCATTTGATCTTTGGTGTGAGATTATTTATCCTTGGGCTTTGGCTCCTTTGATTGGTGGTAGAATGGTCTGGTTGAGAATTTCTGGTGTTCCATTACAAGCATGGTGTGACAGATGCTTCGAGCGGATAGCAGCTTTGGTGGGAGAAGTGATAATGATCCATGCAGATACCAAATCAAAATCTATATTGTGTGATGGAAGAGTTCTAATATTATGTGATGAAAAGCATAAAATCTCAAAGACCATGAAGCTGAAGGTGGAGGAGAAGTTGTATGAGATAATGGTGGCGGAGGAAGAGTGGCGAGCAGATCCGGACTGGTGGTTGGCGGACGATGATCGTAACGGTGGGACATCATCGGGATCGGAATATTCCTCATCGGAACAGGGAGAGGAGGAGCCTGAATTGATGGCCTCCGTGATCCGTGGCGATGATGAAGCTGATATTGAGGATGAGTTAATGCA